TAAACTCCTGCCCTCAAGCAATCCTATTGCCTTGGCATCCCAAAATGCTGGAGTTAAAGGTGTTAGCCACCAGCTGAAAATGTATTTAATATCCCAATAAATGCACTGTAAAGTTGAAAAATCATAATTTGGCCATCTATATATAATTCAGGGGCATTTATTAATAGTATATAATCACAATGCTATACAACTATCACCACTAATTCCAGAACATTTTTATCACCACCAAAAAGGAAATTTGTACACAATGAAGCAGTTATTTCCTATTTTTCCCCTCCCCTCTGCCCTTGGTAACCAAAAATCTGCTTTGGAATTGATTTGTCTATCTGGACATTTCATATAAAAAGAATCATAAAATATGTGGCCCTTTGTGTCTGGTTCTTTCACTCAAGATGACACTTTCAGGTTCATCCTTATTGAATCATGTATTGTTACTTCATTTATTTTTATGGCTGAATAATAGTCCATTAATGGATATACCGCATTTTCTTTATCTACTCATCCAGTGATGAGCATTTGACTTTTTAACACCTTTTGGCTATTATGAATAATGTTGCTGTGAACATTTATATATAATTTTTTATGTGAACATATGTTTTTAACTCTCTTGGGTATGTACCTAAGAGTAAAATTGCTAGGTCATAAGGTAACTCTATGTTTCATATTTTGAGGAACTGTTAGATCATTTTCTAAAGCACAAGCACCATTTTACATTACCACCAGCAATGTATGAGGGCTCCAATTTTTCTATATCCACACCAAGACTTACTTTCTATTTTTAATTAACCCTGCATTCTTGGCTTGGTGCCTATAGATCAGGGGCTAAGGTGCCAGCCACATACACTGGAGCTGGAGGGTTTGAATCTAGCCTAGGCCTGCTAAACAACAATGATAACTACAACCAAAAAATAGCTGGGAGTTGTGGCGAGCACCTGTAGTCCCAGCTACTTGGGAGGCTGAGGCAAGAGAATTGCTTAAGCCCAAGAGTTAGAGGTTACTGTGAGCTGTGACACCATAGCACTCTACTCAGGGCGACATAGTGAGACTGTCAAAAAAAAAAAAAAAAAGCAAAAACACTGCATTCTTTTTTTTTTGGAGACAGAGCCTCACTTTTGTTACCCTGGGTAGAATGCCATGGCATCATAGCTCACAGCAACCTCAAACTCTTGGGCTCAAGTGATTCTCTCACCTCAGTCTCCCAAGTAGCTAGGACTACAGGTTCCTACCACATCGCCTGGGCTATTTTTCTTTTTTTGTTAGAGACAAGGTATCACTCTTGCTCAGGCTGGTCTTGGACTCATGAGCTCAAGCAATCCACCAGCTTCAGCCTCTTAGAGTGCTGGGATTATGGGCATGAGCCATCACACCTGGCCCTACATCCTATTTAAAGTGGAAAAACAGGTGGAGAACATACACATCCTGCTCTTGATTTCCTCTCTAGTCCCTTGGCTTCTTGGCGGTATAAGCTCCGGCAAGTTATTATCCCCCGCATGGCCTAGAGTTCTCTTACGTAAAATAAGAATGATCATAACAATGCCTACTTCAGATGGGTGCCAGGAGGACCTAATGTGATAATTTACAAAAAGTAAATTCATACATAGTAGGTACTCAAGAAATGTTCATTTACTTCCTTCTTTCCTTTAAGAGTATATCAGGTATTTTGTTAGCTCAGTAAAGATATTCTCCTGAGTTAGGGTATCAAGGCAGAGATCTTATAACAATGAACTCTGAATGAAAAGTTAAATAGATGTGTGGCGCATAGTTATTTGTGAACTAAACATTAGTAAGTCTCCTTAATCATTAGCCATGGTTCAGTCTTTAGCTGTAACAGAGGCACCAAACCAAGCATTTGTCTGGATATAACAGGATGCATAGGAAGCAACTGGCCGTCTCCAATGGCAATACTGAGAAGACCAACAATTAACCATAAGAGTTCTGCTTGTCCATTCTTCCCCCTTCCTCTTCCTACAAATAAACATGCACTTTAGATAATGCCTAAGCCATAACCTACTAAATTTGGACTAGGTTTTATAGTCACCATATGAAGTGGTTGAATTATGTCCTTGCAAAGAAGTGAGTCTTAACACTTGGTACCTATGAATGTGACCTTATTTCTAAATATAGATGTTATTGAGTTATGATGAGACTATACTAGGTTAGGATGGGCCCTAAATCCAATGATTGGTGTCCTTTTAAGAAGATACAAAGAGACATAGAAGAAAAATGGCCATGTGAAGATGAAGGCAGAGATTGGAGTGACGCAGCCACAGACCAACAAATGTCAAGGATTGCCAGCAACCACTAGAAGCTAGGAGGGTTTCCCAGGACCCTTTGAGGGAGCATGTCCCTGTTGACATCTTGATTTTTAGGACTTAATTTTTTAAGAGACAAGGTCTTTTTCTGTCTTCCAGGTTGGAAAACAGAGGTGCAATCATAGCTTACTGTAGCCTCAAACTCCTACACTCAAATGATCCTCTTGCCTCAGCCTCCTGAGTAGCTGGGATTACAAATGTGTGTCACTAGACCTGGCTCTAGATCTAGATTTTCCTGAAGGAAATCTCTTCATTTTTTTTGGACACTGGTGTCTTGCTGTGTTACTCAAAATCCTGGGCTCAAGGGATCCTCCCACCTCAGCCTCCCAATTCGCTGGGATTATAAGCCTGGCAAAGTTTTGGACTTCTAGCCAAAATGGGAGAGAATAAATAACTGTTATTTTAAGCCACCTAGTTTGTGATAATTTGTTACAGCAGCCCTAGGAAACTAATACACTATAGG